CCCCCCCTTTTGCTTCCCCCTGCCAGGCCTCTGTCTTCTGCCACCTGTATCACCCCTGCTGCTTGCCCCGAGCCCGGCCCCTGCCTGCCTGCTTCCCTGCTGTGCCTGCACCTCCCCCCACCCCTGCCCTCTCCTGCCACACACCCACCACTTACCCTGAGTTGCAGGTTTGGCTCTGGCTCTGACCTGGGGCACAGAGTGCATGCTGGCTCTGGCCCCTGCCGAGCCAGACAGCAGTGGTTAAGGGAGCAACAACTCAGTCGGACCTCCCTCTACTGCTGCTTCTTCCTGGCCAGGCAGGGGCTGGAGCTACAGCCAGAACTCGGGGTAAGTAGGAAGGGCAGGGCAGAGGCAGCAGGGAACAGATGGATGCAGAGGCAGCTGGGGCAGTGGAGATGACAGGGGCAAAGGCTGCAGCTCTGACTCAAAGCCCAGATCAGGGCTAGAGCTGCAGCAGCTGCTTGCCCCCTTCCCCACCCCCCATATGTGAATCTAAAATATGGGACTTTTTCCCCATGCTGAATGGAAAAAAAACCTCATCTTGGATTCAAGTCTATATATTAATAAGCAAAACAGGTTTGTTTGGGGCTTCTGCAGTCATAAAGTCATAGAAAATTAGGGTTGGAAGGAACCTCGGGAGGTCATCTACTCCAACCCCCTGCTCAAAGTAGGACCAGCTCCAACTAAATCATCCCAGCCAAAGCTTTGTCCAGCCAGGTCTTAAAAACCTCCAAGGACAGAGATGCCACCACCTCTCTGGGCAACCTGTTCCAGTAAGAAAATTCTTCCTAATATCCAACCTAAATTTCCCTTGCTGTAATTTGAGACCATTGCTCTTTGTTCTGTTATCTGCCACAACTGAAAACAGTCTAGCTCCATCCTCTTTTGAAACCCCCCTTCAGGTAGTTGAAGGCTACCATTAAATCCCCTCTGTCTTCTCTTCTCTAGACTAAATAAGCCAAGCTCTCTCAGCCTTTCCTCGTAAGTCATGTGCCCCAGCCCCCTCACCATTTTTGTTGCCCTCCACTGGACTGTCTCCAGTTTGTCCACATCCATTCTGCAGTGGGGGGCCCAAAACTGGACACGGTTGTGACCTCACACAAATGTGACCTCACCAGTGCTGACTAAAGGGGAATAATCACTTCCCTGGACCTAATGGCAACACACCTACCAATGCAGCCCAGTATGCCATTAGCCTTCTTGGCAACAAGGGCACACTGTTGGTTCCTATTCAGCTTATTGTCCACTGTGACCCCCAGGTCCTTTTCTGCAGAGCTGCTTCCTAGCCAGTCACCCCCCCAGCCTGTACTGGTGCATGGGATTGCTCTGTCCTAAGTGCAGGACTTTGCACTTGTCCTTGTTGAACCTCATGAGATTTCTTTTAGCCAAATCTCCAATTTGTCTAGGTCACACTGAATCTTAGTCCTATCCTCCAGTGTATCTACTATTCTCCCCAGCTTGGTGTCATGTGCACCCTTGCTGAGAGTATGCTCTATGCCATCTTCCAGGTCAGTGATAAATACATTGAACAAAACTGACCCCAAGACCAACCCCGGGGGGACTCCACTTGATATCGGCTGCCAACTAGATATTGAGCCATTGATTCCTACCCTCTGAGCACAATGCTCCAGCCAGTTTTCTGCCTACCTTACAGTCCATTCATCCAATCTGCACTTCCTGGGCTTGCCTGTGAGAATGCTGTGGGAGACCTGTATCAAAAGCCTTGCTAAAGTCAAGGTACACTACATCCACTGGTCTCCTGCATCTTGTCATAGAAGGCAATCAGGTTGGTCAGGCATGGCTTGCCCTTAGTGAATCCATGCTGACTGTTCCTAATCGCCTTCTCCTACAAGTGTTTGGAAATGGCTTCCTTGAGAATCTGCTCCATGATTTTTCCAGGGACCGAAGTGAGGCTGACTGCTCTGTAGTTCCCTGGATCCTCCTTTTTTCCCTTTCTTAAATATGGGCACTATGTTTCCCCTTCTCCAATCATCCAGGACTTCTCCTGATCTCCATGAGTTTTCAAAGATGATGGCCAGTCGCTTTGCAATCACATCAGCCAACTCCCTCAGCACCGTTGGGTGCATCCCATCCAGCCCCATGGACTTGTATATGTCCAGCTTTTCTAAATAGTCTCTGACCTTTTATTTTGCCACTGCTGGCTGCACTGTGCTGCCCAGTGCAGTAGTCTGGGAGCTGATCTTGCCTGTGAAGACTGAGGCGAAATAGGCATTGAGTACTTCAGCCTTTTCTGCATCCTCTGTCACAAGTTTGCCTCCCCCATTCAGTAAAAGACCCACATTTCCCTGATCCTTCTCTTGCTACCAACATACTTGTAGAAACCCTTCTTGTTACCCTTCACATCCCTTGCTAGCTGCAACTCCAATTGCTCTTTGGCCTTCCTGACTTCATCCCTGCATACCCAAGTGATGCTCGTATATTCTTTCCTAGTTATTTGTCAAAGTTTCCACTTCTTATAAGCTTCCTTTTTGTTATTTAGTTTACTGAAGAGTTCCCTGTTAAGCCAAGCTGGTTACTTCTGCCATACTTGCTAGTCTTCCTGCACATCGGGATGGTTTGTTCCTGCACTCTTCATAAGTCTGTTTTAAAGTACAGCCAGCTCTCCTGGACTCCTCTCCCCCCAGTCTGACTTCCCGGGAGATCCTGCCCATGAGTCTGCTTTCCTGAAGTCCAGGGTCCTTAGTCTGCTGCTCTCCATCTTTCCTTTCCTCAGGATCCTGAACTCAATCATCTCATGGGCACTACTGCCCAAGTTGCCATCTACTAACTCCCCACCAATTCTTCCCTGTTTGTGAGCAGCAGGTAGAGAAGAGCACAGGCCCTAGTTGGCCACTCCAGCACTTGCATCAGGACTCTAGCACTCTCCAAAAACTTCCTAGTCCTCGGCATAGATTTGAAGAGCTGGAATTATACTCCCTGATGCTATTATTGCATTTTTCCCATTTTGTAAGGTGGGTTTGGACATTTTTAATAATAGACTAATCTGGGGAAATATAACAGTGAACCAGGAGGATGATCTGTGAGCTGGGTTAACAGACTTTTGGTATTCTGAAAAGATAATAGAAACTTCTAAGAATATTACTTCCAGTGCTTTCAAATCCAGCTAGTAAGCGATCCTATTCCGATGTTGGCTACAAAGAAATCTGAGTCAAGAAAACAATTTGCTGTAAAAAAGTCAGAATTTTCTTAGTATTGTGGCTTTTCACCTAATAGTCCACAGTTTTCTTGTAGTTGAGATGATTAAAGGGTAGGGGTTTTATTGTGTGCACTAGGCTGCAGTTAAAATATTTTCTTAACCTTTGAATAGTATTTTCAATGGTATGTTAAACATTTCTCATGTCACACTTGTTGCACTTATTTACCAGTGTCTTACTCTGACAGCTAAGCATTTTAGATATGCTGCCAGGTGCCATAAATACTTGGATTATAGTAACACAGGAGGTAAAAATAGCTATTTGCATATTACTGCTCTGTGCAGAGTAGACCGAAAGTCACCTGTCTTTACATTGCTGACACGCACCTCTGCACAAAAAGAGCTGGGCACAGCTACCTGTGTAGCCAGTTATTCCTTACAGCACAGGGCAGGAAGGTTGCCCGAGAGTACTGAGAGACACTCCCTTCCAAAACCAACTGAGTGTGTTGCTCCATTGAGCTGCCACTGAGCAGCTGGCCCAGGTTCATACTGTCTTCTAAAGTTATAGTTTCATTTCAGAAATATGTGTGCCCTTCATATCATGTGCCCTGGGGGCACACAGATATATCTTCAGGTCTCTTCTGTTGCCATCCTATGAATTCCTAAAAAGCCAAAATATATTGCCAAGGTGTTAAAATGCATTCCCCTGCCCCACTCAGATATACATGTGAATCTGTTTAGGTTGGTGAACCATATATGTTTTTGTCTAGCCACAAGTTTCTTTGGAGTTATGGATATGTTGTGTTCCTCTGGGACCAGAACAGTATTGCAAAGATCACCTGAAGTTTGTTTACTTGCTGGTTCCCCCCACCCCCTTCATTCTTCACGATTTGCACTACCACAACATCATTTTGGGGTCTTATACATGTGCTCCAAGGTGAGGGGAAGAGGAGTGTTTTAATTAAAGTGGTTCTCAGGAGCCAACCTAACTAAAACACCCTCAGTGTCTCATGTATTCAGCATCCCACATTTCAAAATGGCAGCAGGGGTATTTTAACTAAAGCTTATTCCACAAGCTTTAGTTAAAATGCCCCCTGCTGCCATTTTGAAATGCAGGGATGCTGAATACACGAGATGCTGCAGCACGCCAGAGCGTTTTGATTAATCGCATCTGCTTTAACATGTTCTAATCAGAATACATCAAAGCAGGTGTAAAAGTTCTTTTAGTTCTCAACTAAGTATGTTTCAAAGAGCGAAAACAATGAAAAATAGTGAATTTGTTTGAAATGACTGAAGTTCAATCGATGGGCTGAAATAATTGGCTTGATAGCTTTATAAGGCATGTTCCCTACTAGTGGTAGAATATAATTGTGCATGTTACATTGGTGGATCCCATAGTGTGGGTTTTTCAGGCAAAAGTTTGCCTTAATGAGTAAGTTCCTTGTTTAGGCTTCAGTTTATTGGGGAAAAAAGGAAGTTCAAAGCTGCTGGATGAACTTCCCCCTTGTTTAAAAATAAAGTAAAATAGCCCCCTTCCCTGACTCTGCGTTCTCCACTGGCTTTGTCTTGCTGATCCAGAATTGCCTGTAGGAAGGTAACACAGGCAATTGATTCTAAAACTAACATTTCTCAGTGGCCTGACAGACTTAATCCTTTTAACTTCTGAATATGCTGAGTAAATGGTGAAACCAGGTCCACAACCAGTATTTTGTTACTTCAAGACCAAGAAGCCTAACTAAAAAAAGCACCTCCCACATTCAGCATCTAAATTAGAGACCTGCCCCCCTTCCCCCCATAGCTGCTTGCTGCCATTCACCACTTATGAAGGGTTTGCAGTGTTGGTTTTTATAGCACATGTGTTTACACTCCAAGATTATTTTGCAGTCCCGTCTGAAACTGAACATGCAAAGATACCTGAGAAGGGCAATGTGTTAGGCTGACCAATTAAAGAATGCTACCTACATGGGCTGTACCTACCTCTTCTACAGCCTGGCTGATGCACTTGTTTTTTAACACTTTCAGCCAGCTGTCTACCTCCGAATAAAGAATCAAGCCCAAGAAAAATATTTAACCGTTGCTGGAAACCTAACAGATGTAAGAGCTACATCAGTGTGTGTCTCTCCCTACAATGGCAAGCATACACAGATCTGGCACTACTGTCGAGGACTCCTCAAAGCCAAGGTAAGCCACTGAATCTTCAACGTACAGCGAATTGACACGCATGCCTTTTATCTTGACTGTGTGCCTTTTTGCATTCAGCCCCTCTCTCTGCTTGCATTTTCTTCAACCAAAATTTTTCTTAATGACTCCCCACATGGATCAAAAGAGGCAAGAGTGCTCAAAAGCCCCCATGGCTCACCAAAAGCATCCACAAACACCTCAAAGCCAAAAAGGAGGCATATACCCAATGGAAGGAAGGGACCATCACCAAGGAGGATTATACCTCCTTGGCTCAAGATTGTAGGGGGGCTTTTAGGAAGGCCAAGGCAGAGATGGAACTGGGACTAGCGATCCGGGTCAAAGATAACAAAGTCCTTTTTTAAATACATAGCAGGTAAAAAGAAGGTACCATGTAACATGGGGCCTCTGCAGGACATGCTTGGTAATCTGGTGGTAGCACCAGATGACAAAGCTACCCTCTTTAACAGATTCTTTGCTTCCATTTTTCTGAGCAGGGACAGGGACATCCCCCACTGGGATCCCCGACGGACACAGGGGAGGCGCAGCCAGCCCCAGGGTCAGTAAGGACCTAGTCAGGGAGCTTCTGGTGGGACTAGATGTGTTCAAATCAGGAGGTCCTGACGATCTCCACCCCAGAGTGCTGAGGGAGTTGGCAGAGGTCATTGCAGGACCCCTGGCACAGCTTTACGAGCACTAATGGTGCTCTGGTGAGGTGCCTGATGACTGGAAAAGGGCCAATGTGATCCCCATTTTCAAAAAAGGGAGGAAAGAGGACCCAGGAAACTATAGGCCTGCTAGTTTTAACTTGGTCCTGGGGAAGCTCTTTGAGAAAATTATCCAGGAGCACATCTGCGAGGGGCCAGCAGGGGAGTTTATGCTTAGGGGCAA